TGCGATTGTTCGACTATATGCGTATATATGTATGTGTATGTATAAATGTTGCCTTATTAATGTAAAGTAAATGGATGGATGGAATGATGGCTGGATGGTAGTAAAAGTGTTAATATTCTATAGGTTAAATATATTTTAATATTTTAATTGCTTATTAGGCAAAGATCTAAAAATAGACTCACTCTTGACTGACTATTGTTGTCATTCTTTTTCCGCTCCATAAACGCTTGGCATATATATGCATTATAAAAAGATGCTGAGGACAGGCAAATGGATCGATGGTTTGCTCAGTTCTGTTGGTTGAATGGAAAGCCGGATGATAGGACTTTATATGGAAATCTGAGACAGACAGACAGACATACCGTCATGGTCATGATGGTAATTAATATGCTTGTCATACCGTCATTTGCTAATTAATTAGCGAATAATTTGTCTTATGATGTTTTCGTTTGAAATTGTTGTATACACACTAATGCATGCAATCGCAAAAAAAAAATATACGCATACACTTATGCACAAGGTTATAAATCATTTCGCTTCGATGGCCTTTGTATTTTGTATTTTGGCTTATATTGCGTGCTCTACTGGCATTATTTCTCGGCAACGTTTTGTACTAACAAATCATATTTTCTTTTTAACATTTTGTGTGAGTTGATGTGAGTGACAACAACAATAGCTTCAACAATAACAACAACTATTACATATATTTACATCGCTTGCTCGATTTGACCATTTTTGGTTGAGAATACAATGCGTCTTTAATGGAATAAAAGCAACAATTGCTAAACAGTCATATTTATACACGCACATAAATACATACAAATATATTCGTACATACATACACACACACACACACACACACACACACATACAAATATAATTGATATGGTTTTCTACAATTGCCAATCATTGTTGGTTCAAGAAGTCGTTGCCGTTGGCGACGCTGTCGTCGCCATCCTTGTCATTATATCAGCAATTCATAGCTTGTCATCGAACACACACAACAGCTACTAGAGAAGCTGTTATGCTGTTTGTTTTGTCCACGTGCCGTCACATGGTCTGACATTCGTTTTATTCTTACTCTTATTGTGTTCTTATGATGTCTAACAGATATGCGAACACATATGTATATATAAAATAATGGTATGGTTAGTTGTGCAACCTTATTTTTTCTTCTCCCTTTTTTTTTTTTTTTTTTTTTTTGTTCTGTGCTATATGGTTACGGTAGACCTTAAGTAACAGAGTACAGATATCTCAGCTGTTTTTGTTAGAGAGACATTTACGTATTTATTCGTACATAAAAGTGCACGACGTATAAAAAGCACAAAAAAAAAAAAAAAAAAAAAAAAAATTTCAACTAATAAATAAATTATTGGAAAACTGATTTTACATACATACACAAACTGTATGTAGTGTAGCATATATATATTATATATGATATTTATTATTATATATATATATATATGATATAAATGCGTTGCTAAGCTTTTTATGTAAGCGAGTGAAAGGAATAGTTTTTTATATGATTCCCAGTTTAACAACAGTTTAACAATTATGGCCACATACTGTTGTCTTTATATATATATATATATATATATATATGTATATATATATATGTCTTTATTACCATAATTGTATTGTAATTGTGTACATGATTTCACAGTCATTAATTATACGAGACATTCTTTAAATCAAATCATGCAGAGAATCAACGCAAAAATGATTTCATATACAGACTGTAGGCAATAGACGTGTTGTGTAAACGCGCATAACAACAACATAACGACATCTTTCTATTAACCATAAAATCCTCCCTGCAGTCGTACAGTCGGTAATATGAGCAACATTGTCGAAGGACCGTAATTAGATGCAACCAATAACTGACAACTGATAGCATGAATGTAATGAATTGAAGCACATATGAAAATACGATCTTTTCGTTGTGGGAAGAGAAAGTTTTTTTCTTTTTTTGCATTTAACTTGGGTTTTTTAAGAAAATAGTTCTTAAACAGAATTCTTTTAAAGTTTTTTCATAAAAACATTTACGAAACTATAGTGATTTCAAAGAAATATTTTTTCCATTCAAATTCGTCTTAGATTGAGCTATCATTGTTATTATTGTTATTATTAATTTCGCCAGAGAAATAAATTCTAAGACTAAACTCTTAAAGAACTAGCATCTAAGGCTTTTGGCTTTTTTATTATTATAGATTGAGTTAAATCCATGTAATGTGGATCAGGCTCAAAATGAAATCTACGACATTCGTAATGCTCCGCAGATGATCTTTAAGGTACACGCAGCTTAAAAAAACTTGAAGCAACAGCGTCCGCTCGGTGTAGTATAGCAACTTTGAAAATTGAATGCAACTCTCTTCAGCACCGGATCATGCGAAATCGTTTACACTATAACCGCAACTTCCTGCATAGAAGGGGTCAAGAAATTTGCACATACGGACAGACATAAAGCTAACTAATATTTTTTTGTATACAAGCTGTGCGTATTACAATGATCAGTGTGACGCTAGAAAACTCGATTTAAAAAAATGTCATGTCTTAGAAAATCTGATCGGTTTTGAGTTAAGGCTGCTTAAATAGTTCGGCGTAGATTCGAAAACCGTTGATTTTGTGCTAAAAGTATTGTTTACTTTATCTTAAACAGATTTTTCCATTTAGAGCATTTTATGTAAGGACTTATCAGATATGCTTGCTCTCACTTGCTCTTTAAATATGTTCAGTACATTAGTCATCATCGGGTCTTGTATGAAGCTTACTTACGTTTGCATGCCATTTAAAAGGGTTGACTAAGATAGTTTCAAGTCCTGGTGTAGAATGCTTACCAAAAATCTTATAATTATATATAATCACAGTAAAAATAAAAGGTAGAGCAAGCATGACATGTGAACGGAGAGTGGCTACACCGCTAAGGATCGAAATATCGATCGGTAATCGGAGAAAAAGCAAAAAGCAGCTGCAAAAGCAAACTCATTCGATCAGGTTTCTTTTAAAATCGTTTATAATGCGATAGTAATAATAATAATTTTTTAAAAATAGACATCTGCACCCAAGAGACCATTTGACTGCCAGTCTTTCCATTGCGTTGCATTATTAGTAAGCGTTTGAGTGACATGTTTATAACACATTGCTTATGTTATGTTGTAATAAAAGCTCACATGTGGCACCTCATTGGAGTATGTACGCTATCTTACAGGTTGGTCGGGCATTGAATGATTACGTTTACAAAAATATGTGCGTTTGTATCTTATAACGCAAGCAGATCAGGTTCAAAGATTTATTAAGTTCACGAAAATTTAAGGTAAAGCGGTTTCATTGACTTTATCAAAACACTAAGATTCGTCTAAACCGTTCGTAGAAAGTGAACAAAACACTTTGCAAGCGAAACCTAACGAAGTTGTTGAGCAATATTCAGTAAAAATTAAGAAATTTTTTTTTTCAAAAAGTGGTTGAGATCGAGTGATCTGAGATTGATCAACGTGCTTTAAACTAACGCACGGTTGAAAGGCGGCAATGCGGCTAAGCAGATAGTTTTCCAATAGATAGTTTTGAAGCGAAAAGGAGCTTTTTTATCTTGTTGCAATGCTTTGGCATTGACGTTCGAGAACATGGTAACGGTAAAATGCCCCCGAGATGGACGGTACACTCAAACACGTGTGATTATAGCTCAAATACTTAACAATTCCAAAAAAGCTCTTGACACTAGTTGACAAATACACAATGCTAAGCTACAGCATAAATGACTTATTGCGGTGCAAGCAACGTGTGCCTTACCACACGATCTCCACCTATGCACTTGTCTTGGATTATCATTTGTTTGTCTCACTCAGTTACGTTGATTTATTTTCAAGACACGCCCATGAAAACGTGATACTATAATTTAAAAAAAAAAAGCCGCATAAGCGCTAGAGTGTTGTAATGCTTTTGCTAGAAAAACACCAAGAAATAGTTGAATGAAGTCTCGCAGGATATGTCATAATGCACTAATGCATAACAGCAACAAATACTTGTATTAAATTTCATGTTTAAAAACCCAACATTTCCTAGACAATCTATTAATTACATTATAGAAGATTCTGTTTCGCTCGCACCCACACCAGACTATAAATCGGGAAATGTTTGATTTTTTTCACTTTGTTGACGTACTCCACTTATTACTCATAAGATAAACAAGCCAGAACTTTGAAATTTATTCTATATATTACTCAGGTGAATATATTTTGTCCGTCCAAAAGGAAAAGAAGCCCTGTGCTCAAATTTTCAAATTTTTTCTGCTTGAAACCTATTAGTTTTTCATCTGGAACTTCTAAAACGTCTTACCACTGATCAAGTCACAATACTAGTTTCATCCTATCTTATCACGCTACGGAGGAAAAAAAGTGGTATTGGTATACAAGATTCGATCCCGATCGAATATAAGTTTCTTACTCTCGTTTTCATTACGATTTCAAAGGCATTTCTCGGCAATTCTACGGCGAGCAGGAAGCTCACCTAAGATAGTACAAAGAACTCTCCAAGAGCGATTTATAAGATTTAATTTAAACGTCCTACACTTACCTTTCATTAATAGCGCGCCAAACATTTGCCGCCTCTTTCTTCTTATTCAGGCAATTTTCAAGGTAACGAAGTTAGTTAATGAAATCTCTCTCGCCGATCATATACGTTTCAGAAAATTACTAAAATTTTCTCTTCTGCTTGTTTGTAGGTAATTCAATCGCTTTATTGCTAGCATATTGCTCTCTCGTGCCATTCTCTCACTATGCTTCAGTGCAGAAAATGTAAGTGAATTCCCCAGGCATGAGGCTCAAAGTCATTCTTAATTTCTTTTGCTCATTCGCTTTATTGCTTGCATATTGCTCTCTCATGTCATTCTCACACTGTATTTCACCGCAGAACATGTAGTGAAAGAAAGAATAAATTGCCAAGATTCGAGACCCAAAGTCGTTCTTGGTCGTTGTAAATATTCCTAAAGGTCTTCCTTATTATACTTCCTCGCCCTATAATGGCATGATTTGTCCTTCTGTAAATATTCTAGGTCGAGGTGAAATTCTCGTTCAATGTATGCTTTGTAGATGTTATAAGCAACAACATGAACTTCTGAATCGATGGTCCAATTTTCCTATCTTCAGGAGCCATTCCTAGGGTTCTTCCCGTCTGCCTGTTGCCTCTAATTAAAAAGCTCGCCGTGTCTAAAACTTCATATGGAGCTGAAGTTTAGTATATCAACATCTGCTCGATGACAGTGCAATTGTAGGCTGAAACCATGCCCACCGCAAGCTAAATGCATTAACTTACAATTCATCCAGTGATTTTTACCCCTAAAGCTTGCAGTAAATATTCTATGCAAAAAAGGAAGTGTTTTGTCTACAGGCAGAGAAATTAGATTTACGTGTAAGCGGGAGCGCACTAAAACTTGATGTACTCTCAGTTTGTGCAGAAGGCAGTTAATTGACATGCCCGCAAATTCAACAAAATAATCCTGAATTTTTTTTGTGCTGAGTACTAAAAATCTATCCTTAGGACGAACAACATAATACAGTAAAATATTTTTAGTTGTTTTTCCATATTTTATATAGGTTTTCATTTATTTATTAATTTGTTTTTTTTTTTTTTTTTAAATTTTATTTTTTAATCAACTATTTTAATAATTTACACAGCAAATTATATTTATATATATATATATAAAAAAAAATAAAATTATTAATAAAAACACTTCTATAATTTTTTTTTTTTTTTCTCTCTACAACCCAAGAATTAATAATAAAAATCTTAAAAAAGAAAAATGTGTACAATGATCAGCAGTTAACAAAGAAATGTTTTTATCTTTTAATTGCTAACAAGAAATAAAGAGAAAAAAAAAAAAATAAAAATTGAATTTTTTTTAATATCTTACACAAAAATTTTATAGTAATTTTTTTGTTTTTTTTTTTTTTTTTTTAATTTTTATTAATTTTCACTTCATTTCTTTTTGATTTACTTAATGGTTATATTTTTTAAATTTTTTTCTTTCGTTTTTTTTTTTTGTTTTTTTTTTAATTAATTATTATTAATTATTAATTTTGTTTTCTATTTAAGGATTTAATAATAATTTATTTTTACAAAGAAAACAAAGATGCGCAGTAGCAACGCATCTATTCTTTTAAGAATTATTTTATGTGTATTCACTAGTTGTGTGTGAGTGAGTGTGTAGGTGTTAATATGTTTCTATTTTTTTTTTTCGCGTATAGGCGCCTGTGTGTGTGTTGTGTGCTTCGTATGTTTATGAACGTATGTATGCATGTACATATCGGTTTATGCTATACTTTATAGAGATTAATCAGCAACATATATATGTGCCACGAGAGAGTATAAGACACACAAACCTACTAATGTACAGGATCGATAGAAAGAGAATCCAATCCATTGGGCTCATTATATTGTTATTATCATTATTATTATTATTATTATTTATTTATTTATATTTTGCTTATTTATATTTATCGTTTATTTGCTAGCAAAAGGATAAAAGATTTTTTTTTCTCTTTTTTATTAAATTAAATTCACTTTTTCTTCTTAAATCGCGTCGTTTCATTCAGTTTTCCCGGTTGTTTTTGTTAATTTTAAATTTATGAATTTATTTATAAAATATAGGATCGGTTTGGTGTATTGCAGGCTGTTAAACCGCTGGCCATACCCTGAAAAGTGAAGGAAATAAAAAAAAAAATTATTTAAATTATTTTAAAAAAAAAATTTATTTAAATTATTTTTTTTATTTATTTTTTTATTTTTATTCGTAAAATGTTCTTTTTTTAATTTTTAAGATTAAGATTTTAAATAAAAATGATCAAAAGTGAATAAGAAAGTAATCTTGATATCTGAACCTTAAAACAATATGTAAAACTTGTTAGATACTTTATTTAAATTGTAGGCGTGTCAATTGGTCAAGCAAGAACTATGTTGCGAAGAACTCTGGCTCTGATGCCTTTAAGAAAATTGTCTATCAATATCTGTTATTGATTTTGAATTCGCGACCCATTTTGGAAGTTTGTTCATAGCAGGTCTCATCTTTCTATCTCAATTTCCGAGAATGTCACCATGCCAATAAGTGTTAACGAAACGAAGGCCATGACTATGTTCTAACGTTTTGCAAGTGAAAAGATAAATTTCGACTATCAACAATTTTTTGGTGGAGGATATGAAAGTTATCTTACAAGTATGCACATTTTTGCACCGACCTTTGTGTAGAGCGGACATCTACCATAGCTTGCGAACTAAAATACTTGGTCTTCAGATAAACGAAGATGCAGATAAAACAATTAAGTACGCGGGTCAGTACTATATACGACTTATACCTTACAAGGCATCTAATGCGTACTTTTAAGGTTTACATGCAAAATGACAAATGCAAGGCATGGATCAAAAATCAGATCTACCAATACTCCTCCTCCTACAGCTTTAAACCTTCAACCAAAAACTACGGCAGCGGAGTATGTGCTGTATAGAAGCAAAACGGAAATTAAATAGGTGGTCGCCGCTTCCTGGAAACTTATTCCGCGAGACGCATAAATCACAGCAATTCAAGCGAATGCGTCTCGCTAATAATATCTTCAACGTGCCAACTTTCGGAACCTAGCGAGGCTTTAGAAAGCCACCTTCCTAACGTGGCACAAGCCCCATGACTGAACCAAGGCCAAAGTGGCTTTATATCAAAAGCAGAGGACAAAAATAAACATCTGCCAAAGTCATTGAGACCCATTAGTCTTAGTTCTTTTTTCTTCAAGACGATGAAGAGAACTTTAGACGGCATTATTAAGGAAGCCTAAGTAGAAGTATTACAAAATCAGTAGTTATCAATTTGCCCATGAAAACCGCATATCCACTACAATGGCAGTTCATGAGCTAACACGAATCAGAGAAGGTGCAATATGGGTCAAACAAGTTGTTCTTATTGACATACGCCGATACAGGGCAATTGAGAAAGAACATGATTACAATTGCTGGATTGTAAACAAATTACGGCTGAGGTAGAATGGAAATTATTGGCTATTAGTGCCCTCAATAGGGAGCACGCTCTTCTCCAATCTGCACCCTAGTTATTCACGAGCCCCTTGTGCAACTAATAAATCTCGGATTCAGAACACTGGGTTGTGCAGACGGTTTGGCAATAACCGTGGAGGCAATGTGTAAACTATAATCAAGCAAATACAAACTAGAACTGCGTACAAGGGATGCCAAGACAAAAGATTATATATCAGACATTACAGAATGATCTTGGTTCCTTTTTCTAGGAAGAGGAAATTGTCACTGAGCAAAGTATTCTTGAAAGACATCGCGCTCACTTACTCAGATAAAGTGGAGTATCTGGGTGTCAAACTTGACATAGCCGTAACTTGGAAAGCTCACAAAAAACAGCTGATCAGAGATCTATTTGCCTGTCGGCGCTTATTCGATCATGGACGATATATGACCCTTAAAATGATACGTTGGCCTTTTACTAATATTATTTTACATATGCTATCCTCTACAGCGCTGGGTGGAATAACTAATAAGGATGCAGTGTTAGCCATAATGTTTCTTTCTACAGCTATAGAAAGAAAGGCCTGCCCGAGCGCACTCAGATTGCCAAATATTGACAAACTAAAACTCATTAATCCGAAGACCTGACTGAAAGTGCTGCGGAACTTCATAGAAGAACCCCGTACGGCGCTCTGAACACAGAACAATGGAAAGGTTCATAAAAGTCCTAAAGCTTGAGGGCTAGGAGCATGGGCGAGTACAACAGATCTATTTAGGTTACAGTAGGGATATCCCACATTACACTACAATACAATGGCGCTCCCCTCATCTTAGATGATAAAAAAAAAGGGGAACGAAAACGGTTTCTTTAATAATTTACACCGAGTGAAAGAAATAGTTTACCTACGTTAATAACGACGGATTCGTTTCTGGTTGATACCAGTATTGAGGTACATAACCACCCATTTGTGGCGGTGGATTATGATGATGCGTTTGCGGATGCGTTACGGGATGAGGTGGTTGCGGTGTCATTTGCGGTGGTTTATGGTCGATCCAATGCGGCTTTTGATCCCAAGGCGCTTGCGTTGGCGGACTTAGACCCGTGGGTGGGAATTCTACAAAAATCAATTCAAAGATACAGGTTTAATAAAAGCAAAAAAAAAAATATTCTCGTATCATATATAAATGTTCTTTAAGCTGATCCTGTTGTACATGAATACATGGAAATTAAAACAAAAAAAAAGAAGAAGAAAAGTTTTTAGACGTTCTATCAGTTCGCGTACTCTTTTTGTATGCTTGTTTGTCATGTTATATGTATGGCCAAAAAAAGTGTTGATCTAAGTTCGGCAATTATCTACTGCAAGCATTTCAAAATCATTAAAATTAACATAAGAGACCAATGCCGCATATGGCTGAAAATCTGGCTCAGAAGTTCAATTTAAAGATGCTTTTCTACATACGATTTTTTAAATGTTTGCTTTACTAAAACCCATTTCAGAAGACACTCTTACAAACAATTTAAAAATTTTCACATATGTGTTGTTTTGCATAATTAAAATTCATTCGCCGTACAAGCAAAGCTCTTTTGATTTTTGTTGAGGCATTCGAGGCATATTTTCAAAAGACATACGGACATTATTTGTAGTATTATTTATGCATAAATTTAAAATATTTTCTCGCCGATACTTACCGGGTGATAATTCGGACACAGGTGTACTCGATGGCGTCGGACTATGTCCAGGAGGTAGATAATGAGATGGTGATCCGCTATTAGAGCCACCACCATTATTACCGCCTGTAAAAAAAAAAAAAAATAATAATTAGAGAATGAATGTTTCCTTCGTATTTATGTAAATCTTATGTAAGGATTTTTTTTTTTTGGAAATTTCCTCATAAAGAACTTTCGACAGGGGATTCTTCATTGCAGACCTCGTTCTTTATAACCATTTTAGTTATTTCCCCGTTAACTTTTATACTGTCTTTTAAACTGAAGGTTAGCGGACTTTTTCGAAATACTGGACCCTTAACATTACTTCGGGGATTTAAGCCTACAACAAATCTTTATTGGTTTCTATGGAAGAGAATGAAGGATGCAAATTATGATTTTTGAAGATTCTTTCTTCTTCTTCGCTGAACAAGATCGTAAGAACTACGCCATCTTTCCCTCTAAACTTTTGCCTTTAGTTCAACTAAATGAAAAACTTGTTAATTTCTTTTCTGATTGAATTTCTAAAAAGTACTATCTAGGAGTCAACAATTGAAAGATGTTTAAAACTCTTGAAACTCCTTGGAACTCCAAGGAAAAAAAAAAATGTGAAATAAAATTAAAATTAATATGAAAACCAATGTCATAAAATAATAAAAATCAAGGCAGAAAATTACATTCGGCTGTGGCCGATTCTTTTATACCCAAAATCATCTTCCCTAATATTCCAGTTTTTCAACATTCTATCTTGTTTACCTTGGGAGTACTAAGCAAAAAACTTAAAAAAAGTGAAAAAATTGACATTTAATCGTCAAATTGCAACTTGTTGCGGGTGGAGCCGCTTGTTTGCTTTTTCGAACATGAATAATAGAGTCCTTATAAGTCATGAGTAAAACAGAATTGTCTTCACTTTTTACTTTATTGTGGGCGTGTCCTTTGACCGATTTAACTCATTTTCAAAACGAACTTGCGTGCAAGTACTTCCAATGTTTCGGGAACATTTGAAGTCGATATCTGAATTTTTGGCAACAAAATAGTGCCAACAATATGCATGGACGGACAGACATGCCTAGATAAATTCGGAATTTCGCTCAATAATAAAGAATGTAAAAATTTTGTGGAGCCACTCACTCTTTTTTTAGGGTGTTCCAAACATTATAAAACAATGTCTATAATCCCTTCCTACGGTTCAGGATATAAAATTGAAACATTAAAAAAAATTAAAACAAATGATAAAAATAAAAAAAATGTATGATAAACAAAGAGCCAACAAATTAGATTCGATACCGAATCTTGTGTGTCCCTTTCTTAAAAATATCTCTAAAACCGAATTTCGATATGCTACAAGACTAGATAGACTAGATGGTAATTTGCTACACAGCCATTTTCAGTTTAGTTTCTACTGCAGACGTAACCTGCGATCGATTTCGAATCATTTTCAAAACGTGAGAATTCAAAATGTTTTCGCCGCTTGTGAAGGTCAAGCCAGGAAAATGTTTACACTTACACAAACGGGCATAAGGACATACGTCCTTGACTTGATGATACTTTCTGTCTTACTACTTTCTACTAAACGTTGCAATCGTTTTTAAAAAAATTAATTTAACTCAATTCTTCGACAATGGGTACAATTATAAGAAGTGAAAGCATATAAAAAAAAAAGCTGATAATGAAAAACAAAAGTAAATCCAAATTGTTGCAAAAAACAATACCTGCAGTCTACGAATTACAAAACTATTTCATCAGAAATCTGGGTGGTTTCTTGCGGGACCGATAGATTGGAAGACATGTGTATTGAAGAACAACCGCATCCCTTTTCGTACAGGGTACGGAACACATAAGAATGATGAAATGGATGAGAAAATCTATGCCTTCGATGCAGCCAAAAGCAGAATATAATGTGTGTGAATTATTTCTACCGGATTAATAAAAGGTGCGAACAACAATAGTGGAAACGTTTGAACTTTTAGTTGCATAAGTGCTATGCTGAGGAATGCATGTTTAGTAAAAATCGTGACAATGCTTTATTGGAAGTATAAATCATTTATCAAAGTAAACTTCCTTAATTCCTTCTATCCTTGCAGTTCATGTTTAGTGACTTTACTTAAATATATCTCGGAACAGAAAATATATCTAAGTGAAGATGAACGTGTAACAGATTGCTACTGTTACCTCCGCCTACGAAGATTTACAGTAGGCGTTATCGCTTTTTTTATTGCAGTGCAGTTAATAAACGGCATTGTTGACACGCCGACTGTATTAGGAACGATGGACTTTAATGTTTCTAATCACTCCTCTAGAAGTTTGGTTTCTAAGGACTGTGAGCTCTTCAACCAATCAATATTTATAGATCTATAAAATTAGATGGGAGTGGCTGATTTTTTTCCATGCTTGGTAAAATATGTGTGAAAAATTTTTATCATCTATCTGTTGTAGTTTATGAGTAGTGAGCCTAAAGCCCAGCAAGCAGAGATGCTATCAGCTTATTTTGCACTTCTTGCGTGCCTTTTGACCGATTTAGAGCTATCTTTGCGACCAAGTTCATGTTTACCACAGACATAACACAGACAAACGTGGCAGATCGACTGAGATGTGTAAATCGGCTCAAGGTTAAATATATACATTAAATATATATATATATATGTATATATTTCACAAAATCTCTGAAGCTTCCTGTTCGGTGTTGCAAGCATTTTAACATAGTGAATGAAGGTCGAAAAACAAATGAAAAACCCTGTAAACCAAAGTCTCCAATATCCCGATAATAGATACCTGTAGGTATAACACAAGAAAATAAAACGGGCAGACAGGCTTAGCTCTGTTCAGAGAGGGATTCTGAATCGATCGGTATAATGGAAGGTGGGCTTATCTCAAATTCTCACGGGTATCGCACGCGTTTAGATAAACTTGATCCGCTTTTCTTCATCACCAATTACTTTTAGTACTTGCCAATATATGCAGAGAATTTAAGGTACAAGCAGTGCGGCTCACGACTACGTTCGGAAAACTGACTTTTTAGACCATTTGAGCTTTCGCTTTTTTTCGATCATCTTTCATTCTCTTCTTGGATACTTAAGGAACTTTGTAAGAAAAACTCACAAGATGTTGTCATTCCTTAAGCGGCAAAGAACTGACGGAAGGAAGCTTACCTAACCTTAAACCGAGTTTTTGTGGGGAATAATTTTCGAATACATCTCGAGGATGACGGTTGCCGGATAAAGAAGCTTTTAACAAAACATCTAAGCGGCATTACGGACAGTTCTTCACACAAAGTCGATATCGAAGATATCGAATGTTATCCGACAAGTTGAACGATTGAAAGGGGGAGGTGTTTGCTTTGGGGTGTTTGTGAAGAGCAATTTTTTTTTGTGTCTTTGCTGAACTAGTGTCAATGAGCAACTGATGTAACTAACTTAGCATTAGAAGAGGAAGAAATGTGTGTTATAATGCCCAAGAAATCTATTCGAAAAGTCGAATATTTATTATGGTCTAGTATTTGATCGGACTTGGGAAAGGCAATAATTTTATTTATTACTCGAAGTTCAAGGTTACTTACCACTATGCATATTTTGATTTGGACTATGTTGACCTGGATTTGGTCCCGCACTACCTAATGGCATACCGCTACCTTGACCTGGACCCTGAGCAGCTTTCATCATTTTTTTGTACTTTGAACGACGATTTTGAAACCAGATTTTCACCTAAAAGAGAAAATTGGGGGAAAAAAAAGACAAATTTTTTGCTTTTTGTTAATCAAATTTCATAATAAATTTAATTAAAATATGCGCACATACGTACATGTATGTGTTTACATCGAAATACTGCCACTTAACTTATTGGACATTAATTTTCTTAACACTCTCTACAATAATAATAATCAACACCTTCGCAGTACAAAAATTGAAAAAAAAAAACATTTCTATATGAATATGTTTTGTTTGTCGGTTGCTCTGGCGGTTAGCTGTGCTTAACGTTGTGATTTTCGTTAATAAAGCCGTAAAAGACCATAAATCAAAATGAACAGCAACAAAACGAACAACTCTTACTCTTCTTGTTCGTTGTATGTTTAAAAGTAATTTGTAATGATTTTCATAATTTTCCATTGCACTGGCAATGTCTGCACATCGGCCAGTTGGCGTAAAAGAGCGCGCATAAGTGTAAGTAAATAAATAAATGAATGAATGAATGAATGAATGAATGAATGAATGAATCTATGAATCTCGATAAAATATTTGCTAACTCTTTGACGACTATGATGCCGGATGACCGTTATTGCATTTTGTTTTTCTTCGTTTCGGTTATGTGCGATTTTTATTATCGTAATTATTATTTAATTAATAATCATCATTATTAATAGTTGCAATAAAATATTAATAAAAACAAAACGAAAAAATATAAAAAAATCGAGAGAAATAACTTTTTAATGAAACTCCTATCTGTACACAATATATATAATAAATAAAAATATTTGTTTATATATATGTTTTTATGGTAAACTTTTGTAGATCTTTCATTACAAAATCGCTACCGTTTAATATCATGTTATCTTTATTTTTTTATTTATTATTTTTTTGTGTAATTACTTAATTAATTATTATGTTTAGTAATTAAGTAAAATTTTAATATGCATTTATAGACAAAAATATGCATTTTACATATGCTTATAAGTACCTCCGGAGTGCATACCACAGCACAGATATATGGCTTACATTAATTTACAAATTAGTGCAAATATTTTTATAATATAAATACATATTTATGTTTTAATTATATGAAATTTATGCTTAACTGAATAGATAAACACTTCACTTGAATTAGTAAAGAAATTAATTTTGTTGAAGACATTTGTTCGTTTTGCTTTTTGCTTTTTCGTAGCTCGATGATGAATTATTTATTTCATTTATTTTATTTAAAAACATGCATCTGAACCAAACGATCCTGTAGAACTTCTCACTCTAAGGCTCAAGACTTTGATATGATATCATTTAGTAGGTTAGTAGCATTCAGATAAACGTATGAGGCTCCCATAAAGTGTACATATATATATTCTATGCCAGCCAATGCAATCTTATCCGTCTGTTTGTCTGTCCGTCTGCCCCCATAGTTGTCCCTGTCTTCATCTTTTTGTCTCCATTCGTTTCTTTTTGGCGACCGCCAATCTATTTGTCAATCCGTCCTTCAATATGTCCGCCAACCGTCTATTTATCCGCCAATCTATTCGTTTGTCCATATGTCCTTCTGACTTCCTTTCTTCCCTGTCCAAACTATCTGCCTCACCGCTCTATCTTATATTTTTATTCGTCCCTCTGTATATTCCTATGCCCGCCGTTTATCCGCTCGTTTCCTCGCTTCACTATTCATTGGTCCTTGCGTCAGTCCATATGTCAGTCCATCCGCCCATTACACGATGTATTCGCCCCTCCATTCGTAGGTCCGCCAACACTCTACTATTCCTCTATTTGCACAACCTGTTTGCCCGCCTGTCTACCCGCCTATTCACCTCTTCTTTGAATTCCTCCTGTGCCTGTCCCACCATTCTATCTCATCTTTCCGTTTCTTCACTTCACTACTCATCGGTCCGTATGTCAGTCCATCCCTCAGTCCATCCGTCCATCACTCGATGTATCGACCCCTCCATTCGTACGTCCGCCAACACTCTCTACTGTCTCTTTACGTACACAGTCATCTTCTAGCCTATCTGCTTGCCTGTTCATCTATTGTTTGAATTCTTCCTGTGCCTGCATCTCTGCTCGCGTGTCTCTCTCGGTCATTTAATCGTTTGTTCCTTACAAGATTTTAGTCGCACAATCCAAAATAAGAAATTAAAGTTCAGCTTATGTGCATACTAAATTCAAGTACGGGATAGTGACCGAATATATCTGAAGTAAATGCTTAGAATTGTTTAACTCCGGCATTGAGAATAAAATTCAGCCGCACCTTTCATACAAATATATCCACGATTTTTTAAAAAAGCTTTAACTTACTCAAGGTCTTTTTATTCTTCAAAATTTTCGTACCATTCATTCAGTTTTCTCTCTAAAAAAAAATTTTTATGCATATAATTTAATTTGCTGGCTTTTAATGTTTATCGTCATTAAAGCATTTTCCTCTTTTTGTTGGGGGATATTTTAATTGCGCCCGACTGAATTTAGCCTGACTTTAAAATATTTCTACCCAATTCTAGCATGGAATTATCATTAGAATTGTAATTCTTAGCCAATAATCCGTTCCCACATTAAAGATTAGGTGTTTTAATCAAAAAAAAAAAAAAAAAAAAAAAAAAAAACCCAAAATAAAGAAAATTTTTTTTTGCAATTTTTTAAATATTAAGATTTTCATGGCCTTTCAGTTATCTCAAGCTGAGTTTATTTGTGATATACAGCAGTTCTACAATTATTTTCTTTGTTTTAAGTTGTTGTTGATTATAAAGCTTTATGCATATGTTGCATAAGGTTTCGCGCTCAAAATCTTATTTTTAAGTTTATTCCATTTGGCGTTTAACCTGATTAGATATTAAATATGTTGTTGTTACACAATGTGTGTAGATTTCATAGCTCACAATTCATTTACAAATATATATATATATATATACAAAAACATAAGTGATGTATGTCGGTTAAGTGCTACTTGTGCAGCAGAAGCTGTCAGTTAGAGTTTGTTTGAAAAGTTGCTTATAAAGCGAAAGTGGTTTCATTTTCTTAATAGATTTCTCTCTTCCTTTCTGAATATATATATATATATATACATATATATGGCTTTTGTACATATGTTTGTATATAGATATATATACTTGTGTAAAATATTTTATAAAATTTTAGCGAAAGGAAAGAAAATGCATTGCATTAAATATAAAAATTTTGCATACATTTTAGTTAAGCTTTTTAAAGGAAAAAAAAAAAAAGAATTAATAAAGTTTAGAGAATTTGTTCCATCTATTCTTTCCATACATTTTACCGCTTAACGGCATAAATCTTTAAACCAGAAATATTCCCACGTCATAATATGCATAAAGCATTAAAGCTATTAAGCATAACACTCTGCACCTATTCAAGTCTGTTTGTGCGTGTGTTTGCGTGAATGTGTAAATGTCCAAACGAATCTAAATTGAAATATTTTGAAAAACTGGTTGCTCTAAGAAAAAGAAAAAAACTGAATGAATTTAAATATGGTCTCACATGCTCACATGTACGTAATACCTACACCGGGCCATAACACCACCGCAAATCCAAATGCAATCCCATTCAATTAATTATGATTTTAATAATTTTTAAATATTCCCAACGATTTGAAATAATTGAAAATATTTTTGAATAAAAAATGTTTAATAAATGCGTTCCTAATATATTTTATCTTAAATGGCTTTACTGGCAAATTGGAATAGATTTCTAAATTAATCATTCATTACGGTATCGTGCGCAACATAGACATGAGAAAAAATGCTTTTTTTCATCGAAACATTAAACATATTAAAATAATACATGAATGTTAACTAAAAAGATGCATTCGTATTAGTTTTGACAATTAACAGAAACAGAAAAACGATTTGAATCAAAAGCCATTTCAGTTATAATATTTTCAAAGTAAAATAGAAAGATTTCCTTTCGATTCGTGTATATGAACTTAAATATTTCTGATTATTAAAATATTAAGTAAGTATGGGGCGTGATCATTGAAGAGCATTTAGATATAAAAAAAAAACAAAAAAAAGTCGTTTGCATCGCTTGAGATTCAGGTTAGTGCAGGTATATAGATATGAAACTGTGTCTATATATAATGCAACATTTCACACTTAACAAGGATATATAGGATTATTAATAAAACAATAGATTTTCGGACAAATTCGGATAAAATGGTAATCTCCTTAAACATTAAATCATTCATTCCAACGCGTCTTTAAAATTTATATATAAAAGGTTTTACTACACCGTTTAGACTACGCTTAGGTTATGGCGATTAACTCTTCATTGAAGCCACATTTTTAATGTGACAGCAGAATAATAATAGCATTAGAAGGCAAGGCTTTGTCAACACACGATATTCCGATTTTCCTAGTATTTCGAGCGGCACTAAAGCTGGTGTAACTCATAGACGCATCGCCGGAATCTCATGAAATTTTAACGCATTCCTTTCGAAGGTTGGTACTAACCAAAAAGTAGTGAATAGAGGCGGAATCTAAAGGTCATTCTACGAACTTGATGAATCATGTGTTATATGTAAGGTAAGGCTTTCTTCATCGAGTGGTGCTGAAGTCCGAGGGGAATCACGTTGTATAAGGAAATTTCACTTCAATGAATCCAACTTTTTTCATATATTTCTCGCTTTTAGAAACTTTCAGGAACTCAGAAAAAAGACAGTAGGGTGGTATTACATATCTCTCGCCTTGTTGTCACGTAAGCTTCAAAGGCTTCAACATGTACCGTTAAAGGATAGGTTCAGTCTTACATCGATTTGTGTCACAATTCCCAGAAGTTAACATTTATCGGCACATGCAAAGTAGGCATGGTGCCGTGCCAAAGCGTTTTCTTTTTTTTTTTTTGAACAGATGGCCTTGTTTTCAAATTTTCTTGCTTATGGGTGAATTACTGGGCCATTTTTATGCATTGACTTGCTTGATTATGGGCGCACTATTGGAACACTACTGTATATGGCTGCAACACACAGTAAAAACAAATTCCTCTGCTTAGTATGCAACGGAATTGAA